AGGATATATCTACCTGGTAGGTATCTGGGGTTCAGGAGGGAATTTCAGGTACATGTCGATACCCACTTAATAGTTATTAAATTTAATTTAATTATAAATTCACTATTTAATCTTGTAGGAACTACAGTTCATCTGTATTACCTTACCCGGCTAAATACTCAACTCACAGGTACGTCCTTTTGCCTCGATTCAATACGAACCCCTTCCCCGTCGATTTCACAAGTTAGTTATTCACTGGCACTTAAGCATAGGAGCCTCTAGGTATGTTCTTCTTGGCCTTCTACGCCTTACATCAGTGGTCCCGCGAGGCCAACACCCATCCTCAAACGGAGGTACGACATCCCCTCGGGCCAAATAATAGTTAGCCGCCTCGCACGGTTGCATAGAGAGGGCATCACCTGTCACTCCCATTCTGTCTTTTTCTGGTTATTGTCAGAGGGGCCAACTCCCCGCCATAATGTCAATGGCCTCATAACCCAATCGCGCCAAATCATAGGTAGAGCCTCTCACAGCCGCTTGGCTACTAGTAGGGCCTCACCTGTCACCTATTATCTTAATTGTTTCGCCGCTTGGCACTAGTTAAAAGACAGCCAGTATAGAATTTTTACTCTAGGTAAAACATCTAAAAATGTATTTTATAGCATGTCACAACTACCAGATGGGTCACAACTACCAGAAGCCGGGGAAGATCTGTCTATACCTAGCACACCTGCTAGATCGGTCACTCCATCCCAAGGAGTCGACAATGCAACTCCTTCATCTCTACGCTCCTGGATGATTCCTCGGATCACCGCTGAATTGAGGAAAAGGAATATTCCTTTCCCAGCTACGGCTAGGAAAGCCGAATTGTATAGACTTTTAAACACGCAAACTGATCATACTGGGGCTGATGAAGGGTCTAGTAGCGGTCAGTCTTCTGATCTACAAGCGGTATTATCCTTGGTCTTGTCCTTTTTAGGTCGTATTATTAAAAATCCGCATATTATTAACCCGGCACATTTGGTGCCTGCTAACTTGAGAAAGGACATCTTGGAGGGGAAGGAGGTAAACTTGGTATCACTACTCATTGCCTCCCAAGATGTCCTGTAAAATAAGACGTACGGTTATGGTGACATATCCGTGGTACTTAAATCTAGGGACCCCAGACTAAACCGTAAACTGTCTATCCCTGAATTTGTCCTGGCTTTTGGGACCTACAGGGATGTTGTATGTTCAGTTCATCCCCACAAGCTGGTGGATTTGGGGCACAAGTACGGTGGTACAGCTTTTTATGACTACCACCGTGCTTTAGCCGCAAAGGCGTCGGCGGCTCTGTCTCAATTTAACTATCAAGTTGACTGGAGTGTGCTCGATACGGAGCTTTTTTGTCGGCACTTTGCGGGCTTTAAGACACCGGCTTGTGCCATTTGTGTTTCCAATTCACACACGGCAAATCTATGTCCCAATTCCCCAGAGGTAAATACTTTCTACCCCATTCCCAATATGACACCGACTGGGAGACCGGCCAAGGTCCTTAAAGATAAACTGGGCAGGGATATAATTTTTGGGGGGAAGTCACAAGTTTGCAACAATTTCAATTCAGGCACGTGCGGGTTCAGTGCATGTAGGTTGCTTCATGTTTGTTCATTATGTTTCTGGGCTCACTCTAAAGCAATGTGCCCAAATAAATTATACCCCAAGCAGTATTTATCGTCTCTCAATGTCTCACTGCTGAGGAAGCTATTATGTGATCACCCATCCCAACATTTAGTGGAATTTTTGGGGTCAGGTTTCACGGCGGGTTTCCACACGGGTATCATACACATGCCTACTGGGGTCTTAGAATGCAAGAATTTGCAAACAGCCTTGGCAGATCCTGACGCTGTTGACCGACTGATACAGGAAGAGATTGACCAAGGATTTGTCATTGGGCCTTTTGACTCTCCACCATTTACGGTATGGAGAACCCCATAGGTCTGGTCACTGGTAAATCCTCAAATAAGAAAAGATTGATTCTGGACCTCTCTGCTCCCCATGCATCAGTTACACCAAGTCTTAACTCACTTATTCCATCTGAAGAGTTTTCGCTGCAATACGCTACTATAGATAATGCCATCACGGCCATCCTCTCAGCAGGAATAAGCGCTTGGCTTAGTAAGACGGACATAGTAAATGCTTTCAAACTACTCCCTATCCATCCCTGTGGCATTTACATGGTGTTAAATGGCAAGGGTTATATTATTTTTTCACGCGTCTCACATTCGGTTCAAAGAGCAGCCCACGTATTTTTGATATGTTTGCTGAGACGTTGTGTTGGATATTGCTTAACACCTGTAGATGCCCCACCATTATCCACTATCTGGATGATTTTCTTTCCATAGAAAGGAACCTCTTACCTCCCAGGCCAACGACACAACTTTTTACACAACTAGGAGTCCCGATTTCACCGACTAAGACGGAAGGTCCCGATACGGTCATCAATTTCCTAGGGGTTGTGCTGGATTCAGTTCACATGCAGGCTAGCCTCCCCAAGGAAAAGATTGAACAGATACTGACCGCCATTGACTTTTACTTAACCGAACAGTCCTGCAGCAAAAAGGAATTGCAATCCCTGTTAGGTTCTCTTAATTTTGCCATGAAAATTATTCCTCAAGGACGGGCTTTTATTTCCAGACTACTCAGTCTATTCCCTAGGTTTCAGACCGACTCCTCTCGTATAATGTTAGATAGGCATACCACCGCTGACTTACGCATGTGGAGGGAGTTTTTACGACACTGGAACGGGAAGAGCTTATTCATTCCAGTGTTATCGGATGAGTCTGTTTCTATTTGGACAGATGCTGCAGCCACTTCCGGTTTTGCCGCAATATTTGGCAATCAATGGATGTGGGGCAAATGGCCAAAGGAAATTGCAGAGATACCAGAGTTCAAGGACACGTCTGCGCTATTTGAACTTTATCCCATTGTTGCAGCAGCGGTAAAATGGGGAGCTCTCTGGCCAGAGAAGTCGGTCCGGTGCTTCTCGGACAACATGGCAACATGCCATATTGTTAACAAGGGACGTTCGCTTCCCTGGCCATCATGCGATTTGTTAGAAATCTCACATGGCAAGCTGCGAAATACAGTTTTTCCTGAATTGCGTACATGTTCCGGGGATTCTCAATGTTGCTGCTGACCATTTATCCCGATCTCGTTTTCAGGAGTTCCGGGCGGCCCTACCCACAGTGGCAGGAGATGATATTGGACTAAACCGATTACTCGCTCACGGATATCATCTCTCACAATTAGGGCTTTCTGTAAACACTAAAAAGGTTTATGACAGGGCTTTTCTGTTTAATAAATTTGTGATGGAACACAAAATTGCTGACAAATTTGCTATGAGCACTATGATTGCGTTTATTTCTTTTTGCCATCTTCACTTAAAACTATCATTCAACACTATTAAATTATACATCACAGGTATTCAACACCACATCCTCACCACTTGGCCTGATAAACAATGATTCCTCTCCTCGTATCAAGTAAAGTCTGTATTGAAGGGTATCAAGGACTCCACCCCGGCACCTACACCTTCCAGATTACCTATTCATGACATTCTATTTCAGTCTATGTCAAATCTGTTAGACACTTCACCGTTTGAGGCTAGCACAAATCAGGTCATAAAAACCGCCATATACTTGGCATTCTATGGGTTCCTTCGGCCCAAAGAATTTACCACTACTAATTATAACACCCCAAACTTCCTCACAACAGCTAACCTAACCTAATTAAAAACGCACGACCACTATTCACTATTCCTACACCATACAAAAACTAGTATGAAAGGTCAGTCTGTCACTATACCCTACTGACAATAAATGGTGTCCAGTGGTAGTCTTCGACCAGTACCTCTCATCCATCCCAATGACTCCACATCAACCTCTACTGGCATTATATGGTAAAACACTGACCATCAGTAAGTTCATGCTTTATGTAAGAACTTTGTTAGTACGATTGGGGCTAAACCTGGCCAAGTATTCCGGTCATTCATTCCGAATTGGAGCCGCTACTACCGCTTCAAAAAAGAATATCCCAGCATACATCATTAAGATTATGGGACGCTGGAAGTCCACGGCATATACATGATACATTCCCCAGCCAGATCAGGAAGTACGACTAGCATTCAAGAATATGGTGTGATAGTCATATACTGTATTGTAGGCTGAATAAACGGTTACATCTTTTTGCCCTCTTTTATTTCAGGCCTACTACGTCGTCAGTTACGGCACACCCCAACTGACTTTTCCATGTCCTGTTTGGTTTAAAGTTACTAACTCCACGGCTTTATGCCTTGACCACAAATGGAAGGCAGGGCCTGAAGTTGTGGGAGGGGCTTGGTTCCCCTTCTTAAGGAGCTCCAGCCCTTCACCTGCTACCGGCTCAGGTCTTGAGATTTGTCCCACCCACCTCTCCTCCTTTAAATCATTTAATTCATTTCTTGAGGTAGGCCTTCTTTTATTTCAGGCCTACTACGTCGTCAGTTAGGGTACACCCCAACTGACTTTTCCATGTCCTGTTTGGTTTAAAGTTACTAACTCCACGGCTTTATGCCTTGACCACAAATTAATATATATATATATATCTCTCAATATCAATCATGATCTAGCGTACACAGGAGTATATGACAGTCAGTTTTTGTGTGCTGTTGTGGTGTGGCAAAAATGTGAATACCATATAAACATTTATTTCAATCAACATAACACATTTCACAAAATCTATAATGTCAGAAGGACAAATGCCACATAGCCAGTCATTCCCAAAAATTGCTGCAAAGCCTGTTGAGGCTGCGGCAGCTGTCCAGATTATGGGTGGTTTGTCAGATATAGGTGGTAGAAACATAGACTTCCCATTCCACTGTTGTAGGAACCTCTGCTACATGTGCAAATCTACCAAATCATGGGAATCAAGAGTTATCTAACTATCATCCATGGGGAGAAGGGTTAATAGACAAAAAAGGATAAACATGAATGACTTACCCTAGGGAATAATCCTCATGACAAAACTGAGGAAGCCTAGCAGCGATTGAAGCTCTTTATGATTAAATGAACAGGTAGAGATCAATGTTAGCGAGGATGTGGTCTATTTTCTCTATGGGGAGGCTGTATTCCATAGCTACAGAATCTAGCTGGATTCCCCCCAAAATTATTACCTGCTTTTAACACAGAGGAAATTACCCCCTCCTAACTTCATGGGTAAATGGGAACTGGTGCTTGGGGAATCGTTCACTACCCCTCAATGGCTACAAATTCGACCTGACAACACTGTGCAGTGTTTAGTAAGATCCAAGAATCTGCATATAAGTTACTGGCCTAAGGTTACACTCTATCACACCATCCCTAGATGAGAGGAGCTGGCGATGCAGCACTGAGGTAGGCACTCACCTCCATCTGTGGTTGGGGCTGTGACAATATTCGCCCATTATGGGAAAAAATCCACCCATAATCCAACGATTCTCTGCTCTACCCCTCTCCTTCTACACTACACCAAACCTCCATTTATAAAAAAATCCTTAACTAACAGGATCTTAAATGTTGCTAAAAGCCTTATACCCATTTTCTGGAGAAAGTGTGATGTGATGTGTGTCTCCTCCCATCACTCTGACTTTGAAAAATGTAAGAACTGTACTCTATGGAGAATTGTATCTTTCAATCCAATTGCAGATCCCAGACACACAGATATCTGTACCCACTGGATACTGCATCAGCCGACTTCCAATACCTCCTTCATTAGGCCTTGTCCCAACTAACCGAGGTAATGAGACACACCTATTGTGTGACATAGTTACATACTTACATAGCTGAAAAGAGACTTGTGTCTATCAAGTTCAGTCTTTTACACACATGTTTTTGCTGTTGATCCAAAACAAGGCAAAAAATCCAGTCTGAAGCGCTTCCAATTTTGCAACAAACTAGGAAAACAATTCCTTCTTGACCCCAAAATGGCAGTCAGATATTTCCTTGGACCAAGCAGCTATAACCTCACTAATTAGAAATTATATCCCTGTGTGTTATGTTTTTGCAAGTATTTATCCACTTGCTGTTTAAACATCTGTATGGACTCTGATAAAACCACCTCTTCAGGCAAAGAATTCTAAATCCTTATTGCTCTTACTGTAAAAAAAACTTTTCTTTGCCTTAGATGAAATCTCCTTTCTTCCAGCCTAAATGCGTGATCTTGTGTCCTATGTATAGTCCTGTTTATGAATAGGATTTCCAGAAAATGGTTTGTACTGGCCCCGAATTTATTTGTATAATGTTATCATATCCCCACTGAGGCGCCGTTTTCCAAACTAAAGAGATTTAAATTTTTTAACCTTTCTTCGTAACTAAAATGCTGCATTCCTTTTATCAATTTTGTAACTCGTCTCTGCATTTTGTCTAATGCTATGATATCCTTCTTTAGAACAGGTGCCCAAAATTGCACAGCATATTCAAGGTGTGGTCTTACCACTGATTTATAAAGAGGCAAAATGATATATTCATCCCGAGAATTTATGCCGATATATTTATACATGATAAAACATTACTGGCCTTAGCAACGGCAGATTGACATTGCATATTGCTGCCTAATTTGTTGTCTATAACAATTCCCAAATCCTTCTCGTGTGTGGTTATCCCCAGTTCACTACCATTTAGGGTGTAAATTGCTTGTGCATTCTTAATCCCGAAGTGCATAACTTTGCATTTCTCTACATTAAATTTCATCTGCCATTTTAGTGCCCAGTCCCCCAATCTATCCAAATTCCTCTGCAGCAAGGCAATATCCTGCTCACATTTTATTACTTTACAAAGTTTTGTGTCATCTACTAACACAGATACATGGCTTTCAATGCCCATTTCAAGATCATTTATAAATATGTTAAGTAGAAGAGGTTATATATGCAATGTAAATCTACAGTTGCTAAGGTCAATAAGGTTTTGTCATGTATAACTAGGGGCATAAATTCTCAGGATAAAAATATAATTTTGCTGTTTTATAAAATCGCTGGTAAGACTACATCTTGAATATGCTGTGCAATTTTGGGCACCTGTTCTTAAGAAGGATACCATGGCACTAAAAAATATGTAGAGATGAGCTACACAATTGATAAAAGGAATAGAGCATTTTAGTTACGAAGAAAGGTTAAAAAATTTAAATCTCTTTAGTTTGGAAAAACTGGCCTCAGAGGGGATATAACATTATACAAATAAATTCGGGGCCTGTACAAACCATTTTCTGGAAATCCTATTCATAAACAGGACTATAAATGAGACACAAGATCACGCATTTAGGCTGGAAGAAAGGAGATTTAATCTAAGGCAAAGAAAAGTTTTTTTTACAGTAAGAGCAATAAGGGTATGGAATTATCTGACTGAAGAGGTGGTTTTATCAGAGTCCATACAGATGTTTAAACTGCAATTGGATAAAAACTTGCAAAAACATAACATACAGGGATATAATTTCTAATTAGTGGGGTAATAGCAGCTTGATCCAAGGAGACATCTGACTGCTATTTTGGGGTCAAGAAGGAATTTTTTCCTAGTTTGTTGCAAAATTGGAAGCGCTTCAGACTGGAGTTTTTGCCTTCTTTTGGATCAACAGCAAAAACATACGTGAGGAAGGCTGAACTTGATGGACGCAAGTCTCTTTTCAGCTATGTAACCATGTATGGCTTGTGCTACTGATCTAAATAACTTGACATGTACTCTTACTGTACTCTTTACACTTCTATACAAGATACATTTATATCCAGTTTTAAATGACAGCAAGCAGCCATTTGATAAAAGGGAGGTTAAATCCTTTTGCATGCTGCTGCTCGCTGTCATTTAAAACTACTAGTGACTGGGCAGACCTGGCACAGGTCATCCCATGGTGAGGAACACAAATAACTAAAATGGGGGGGACATAGTGCTCCCTGTTCCCTCACCCGTGACCCATGGGTGGCTGCTATTAAATAAATAATGGGCGGGGACCTAATGTCCCTGCAAAGTCCCCACCCATGAGCACTGGGTGTTGACCCTTATTAAATAATGGGGGGACGTAATATACCCCCCGGTCCTCACCCATGAGCAGTGGGTGGGGACCCTAATTAAAGGGGGAACCTAATGTCCCCCATGGTTCCCACCCATGAGCGGCAGGTGGGGACCCTAAATAAGGGGGGTCTTAATGTCCTCCCCAGGTCCTCACCCATGAGTGGTGGGTGGGGACCACAAATAATAAAGTCACCATGGACCCCCAAGCCCCTAGTCACTTCCCCCCAATAAAAATTCCCTACCTACCCCCCTCACCCTAATAATAGTGAGGGGGGGCAATAAACTAACCCTTTAAAATAAAATGTCATACTTACCATTTGAGGTCTTTTCTTTTTTCAGCCCCACAAAAGGCCAAATAAAAAAACATAATACGCGTCGCAACGGTCATGGATGGGGGTGCACAATGTCCCACCATTTAGTTATATTTTGTTCCCCACCAGGTCCCCCCATTGCACTAGCGACTCAGCAGCAATAGCTACCCCTACTCGCGGAATGCAGGAGAATTTAACCTCCCTTTCTCCGTGCTGTTGGGGTACTAAACGAAAAGGTAATGCATTCGGCATTCTCCCTTTCGATTAGTTCATTATTCATTTGTAGGGCTTTAGTTTGTTTTAGTAAATGAATACGAATTTTTTTTTTTTTTTTTTTATACAAAAACGTATTTGTACGAAAACGAATGCACATGTCTATACAATACACAATATAAGCCATTATTGTGAACAGTAGTGTGAGCTATTGGATAAAGGGTTTTATATGTATGAAAGTGAAAAAAAAATAAGGTTAAGGTAATTTCAAACAGTGAAGACTGAGCCCACTATCCTCTATAGGAATAGTGCCACATTAGTTTGGCTAGAGGTTGTCACTCATGGTACTCAGTAGAAGCACAATGACAAGAAAGGTGAGTGAATGGAGGGTGGTGGAGCGGTATGATCCCCCATGCCAGCGGACTTTCAATGTGGTAACAGTGTATTGATTCAGTGATTCAGAGAGGTTATGTTCAACTGAAAAATTATCAAAACAAACTAAACAGAACAAAATCACTGCAGGTGATCTTTGGCAGTTCAGGAAACCGCAGTAGTTGCAGTGCTACCCCTCTGTGCGGCAGGCACAAATGGACAAATGCTCGAGGGATCACAGGCAGATGACTATGGGGCCGGAGCTGTGTTCAGCTATCCCTCTGAGGCAATAGGCAACACAATTTTCTGTAGTGTGCCGGATATTTCCATAGCCTTTCAATGTCCCACATTCGTGGAGGATCAGGAGACTCCTTGGTTCTCCCCACTGATAAGGCATCATGTGCTTTGTGAGTTCCATGGTTAAGGGTCTCAGGGACCTTCTTTAGTCCAGGGCTGCTCTGGATACATCTGGGAAGAATGCCAACTGATGTTCTTCAATGTTGTAGGGTGACTTTTTGCGAATGGCGGTCATGAATGCCTGCTTGTCAGGGCCGTTTTGAAAGCAGATTATTACGTCCCTGTGCACTCCTGTAGTGCTTGTCGAAGGTGCTGGGAGCCTGTAGCAGCTGTCAAGTGCCATTAATTGGCTTGTTTGACAGAGAAGAGCTGTGTTAGAAGCCTCCGGATCAGGTGAGGTATCGGCAAGGCTGCCCACCTTTAAGTTCTTCCACTGCCTCTGATCCTCCATGCGGTATTGTTTCTGCGCCTGATCGCGCTGTAGAGAGTTCCCATTCTAGGGCAGTAAGCGGTGTCTCATGGGCAGCTGTGGCAACCTCTGTTTCATGTAGGCGGGCTGAGACTCCTCTGATCTCTTCTTTAAATGCAGAGATGTCAGCAGCGATATTTCAGCGTAACCTTCAGGGTACCTTTTGTAACGGATCACCTGGCACCCCGAATGGGTACCTCCGTTGAAGGATGCTCCTAGCGCTTCCTGAGGACTCCAAGCACTGCAGCAGACACCAAAACCACAGAACCGTAGGAGCATATGAATGCTCTCAAGCATATGAATGTTGTATACAGCCGAATAGGAAAAACCATGCGACTAGGTTTACACTCCTAGCAGTCAAACTGGAACAGCATACAATAAATCCTCCCCCAATAAATCCTCCCCAAAGCATGAGCTGCAGTGGAGTAAGCACCTCAAAAACCAAGAAAGGTCTCAGGCTCCTCCTGCTTCCTCTTCTGCTGCTGTCTCGGTCTCTTCCTCCACCCCTGGAGTCACAGTGGCACCTGCCACCCTGCAAACAGAGGATGTGGCAGCAACACCACATCCACCACCGTCCCCAAGCATCTCCACACTGTCCCATGGAAGCGTTCAGCTGTCCATCTCCCAAACACTGGAGAGAGAGAGGAAGTACCCCCCTAGCCACCTGCGATCCCTGGCCCTGAATGCCAGCATTTCAAAATTCCTGGCCTTTGAAATGCTGTCATTCTGTTCGGTGGAGACGGACAGTTTTAAAAACCTGATGGCAGCTGTCCCACAGTACGTGGTTCCCAGCCGCTACTACTTTTCCAGGCGAGCCATCACTTCCCTGCACAACCAATTGGCGAACAAAATCAGGTGTGCACTGCGCAACTCCATCAGTGGCAAGGTCCACATAACCACAGATACATGGACCAGTAAGCACTGGCAGGGATGCTGCATCACCCTAACTGCACACTGGGCAAATGTAGTGGCGGCTGGGCCTGAGGCGGATAGCAGTTTGGCGCATGTCCTTCCGCCACAGAGGATTGCAGGGCATTTCTCTTTGCCTCCTGTTGCCTCCTCCTCCTACTCAGCTTCCTCCTCCTCTACCACCACCTCATCCAGTCAGCGTAACACCTTCACCACCAACTTCAGCACAGCCAGGGGGAAATGACAGCAGGCTGTTTTAAAACTCATATGTTTGGGGGCTCTTGGCCAGGCCGGTTTGCCGCACATCCCTTGCCTGGCGAATGTGCTGAATTTGGTGGTGCAGAAATTCCTGAAAAACTACCCAGATATATCAGAGATGCTGCAGAAAGTGCGGGCTGTCTGTGCGCACTTTCAGAGTTCTCACCCTGCTGCTGCTCACCTGTCTGTGCTGCAGCGTAACTTCGGGCCTTCCCGCTCACCGCCTCATATGCGACGTGCCCACAAGGTGGAACTCCACCTTGCACATGCTGGAGAGACTGTGCGAGCAGCAGCAGGAGATAGTGGAGTTTCAGCTGCAGCACGCATGGGTCAGTCGCTCTGCGGAACAGCACCACATCACCACCAATGAGTGGGCCTCCATGTGAGACCTGTGTGCCATTTTGCACTGTTTCAAGTACTCCACCAAAATGGCCAGTGCGGATGATGCCGTTCTCAGCCTTACTAGCCCGCTTCTATGTCTCCTTGAAAAAACACTTTGGGCGATGATGGAAGAGGATGTGGCACAGGGGGAAGAGGAGTAGGAAGAGGGGTGATTTCTACGGTTATCAGGTCTGTCATTCACAAGTGGCTTGGAGGGTGGGTTCCTGCACTAGCATAGGCCAGGTACACAATTGTCCAGCCAGGGCACAGTTCTGGAGGATGAGGAACCATGTTCACAGCAGGGTGGCACCCAACGCAGCTCGTGGGCATTACTGGAGTGTGGCTGGGGGGATACGGAGGACACAGACGATACACCTCCCACATGAGCGACTACATGCTGCGGTGCCTGCACAATGACTGCCGAGTTGCCCACATTCTAACTTGTGCTGATTACTGGGTGGCCACCCTGCTGGATCCCCGTTACAAGGACAACGTGCTGTCCTTAATTCCCTCACTGGAGCGTGATCAGAAGATGCACAACTACAAACGTACGCTGGTAGACGCGCTGCTGAGGGCACTCCCAACTGACACCGGGTGCTCAGTGGAAGCACAAGGCGAAGGCAGAGGAGGAGGAAGAGGTCGCCAACGCAGCTGGGGCACCACCAGCACCTCAGAAGGCAGGGTTAGCATGACCAAAATGTGGAAAAGCACCACCATCTGATATGGAACGTCTTAGCAGGAGGCAGCATTTCAGCAACATGGTGGAACAGTACGTGTGCACATGCCTACACGTAGTGACTGTTGGGAATGCCCATTCAACTTCTGGGTCTCCAAATTGGGCACATGGCCTGAGCTTGCCCTTTATGCCTTGGAGGTACTGGCCTGCCCTGCAGCCAGTGTATTGTCTGAACGTGTGTTTAGCACAGCAGGGGACGTTATCACAGACAAGCGCAGCTGTCTGTCCACAGCCAACGTGGACAAGCTCACGTTTATTAAAATGAACCAGGCATGGATCCCACCAGACTTGTCTGTACCTTGTGCAGAATAGACATTTATACTGGCCTCACCCAACCATTGTTATACTCAAGTGCACTTATTCTTTGTTTACTTTTTTTTTATATGTCCCAATATTTTGGGGGCTACCCCAATTAAAAAAAAAAAAAAAACAGTGTTGGCTACCTCCTTCTCCTCCTCCACCACCGCTTCCACCTACACTGCCACGTTATATACCCAGATATATCAGAGCTTCTGCAGAAAGTGCGGGCCGTCTGTGCATGCTTTCGGTGTTCTCACCCTGCTGCTGCTCGCCTGTCTGCGCTGCATCGTAACTTCGGTTTCCTGCTCACCGCCTCATGAGACTGTGCGAGCAGCAGCAGGCGATAGTGGAGTTTCAGCTGCAGCACGCACGGGTTAGTCGCTCTGCGGAACAGAGTTTTCTTTTTTTATATGTCCCAATATTTGGGGGGCTACCCCAATTAAAAAAAAACAAACAAACAAAACAAAAATAAATAAATAAACAAACAAACAGTGTTGGCTTCCTCCTCCACCGCCGCTTCCACCTACACCGCCATGGTCACCGCCTCCTCAACCTATGGGTCACTTAGTATAAACTATGTACACAATAGCAGAGGCTTGTGAAGGCCTTTTCTCCATGCATCAGGAGTTGAGCATTTCTCCATGCATCAGGACTGCAAGAAATGCACTGCAGGCCGCAAATGTTTCTTTTTTTATATGTCCCAATATTTTGGGGCTACCCCAAAAAAAATAAAATATATATATAATAATATATATATATATATATATATATATATATATATATATATATATATAAATAAAAGTGTTGGGTACCTCCTCCTCCTCCACCACCTACACGGTCACCGCCCAGCAGATAATATTTTGGTGAGTCTAAAGCCCATTTTATGGCAAGGCATTCTTTCTCCATAATATATAATAATTTGGGTGTTCTTCACCCTGAATTTCCTGAGACAGAACCGCCTCTAATCCAATCTCTGATGCATCGGTTTGCACAATGAACTCTTTCAAATTTACAAATGATTTTTCTGTCTCTAATGACCACTTCACCACTAGTGGGGCTTTTCTTTTTGTGAGATCAGTTAAAGGAGCTGCTAATGTAGCAAAAATCAAGAATAAAATCGCCTGTAGTACCCATTAAGTCCTATGAAAGTCCTGACTTGCTTTTTAGTGAGGGGGCGTGGCCAATTTTGTATGGCCTTCACTTTTGCTATTTGGGGCTTAACAAGCCCTCTCCCAATCAAATAACCCAGATATTTTGCCTCTTCCAAACCTATAGTACACTTACATAGGTTAGCAATTAAACCAGCTAGACGGATAGAGTCTAGTACTACCTGCACTTTGGGAAGCTGTGAAGCCCATTTAGAACTGTGAATTACTATGTCATCTAAGTATGCGGCCGCATAACGGCTATGAGGCTTCAAAATCCTATCAATCTTTGAAAAGTGGCAGGGGCCCCATGTAACCCGAATGGTAGCACCTTGTATTGGACTAATCCCCCTGATGTTGAAAAAGCAGTCTTTTCTTTTGCTCTGTCTGTAAGAGGTACTTGCCAATATCCCTTCGTCAGGTCCAAAATAGTCAGGTACCGAGTCTTACCCAGTCTCTCTACTAGTTCATCAACCCTAGGCATTGGATAAGCATCAAACTTTGACACACTATTTAATTTATGAAAATCATTACAAAATCTTATGAGCCATCAGGTTTTGGCACCAGTTCTATAGGGCTGTTCCACTAGCTTTGTGATTCCTCAATAATATCAAGATCTAACATTTTCTTAATTTCAGCATTTACAGTCTCTTTCTGTGCTTCTGAAATTCTGTATGGGTTAATGCTTATCTTCACCCCTGGTTCTATAACAATGTCATGCTTGATAATGTTAGTCCTGCCTGGAACTAGAGAAAATACATTCTTGTTTCTACCAATAAAGTTCCTTACTTCCTGTTTCTGGTGGGGGGACAGTGTGTCTGGTATGTTTACTTCAGGTTCACTATCAGTCCTATTCGTGACAATTGAAGTAGTTAAGACCGCTCTATCCTTCCAGGGTTTTAGTAAATGTGTATGATATATTTGCTCAGATTTTCTCCTATTGGGTTGTCTAACTTTATAATTAACTTCCCCAACTTTTTCAATAATCTCATAGGGTCATGCCAAGATGCTATAAATTTATTTTCTACTGTAGGGACCAAAACAAGTACCCTGTCTCCTGGGTGAAAAACTCTCAGTCTGGCATTTCTATTATAACTGTTTTTCTGGGCCTCTCGGGCTTTCTGCATATGTTCTTTAACTATTGGTATGACAGCCGCCATCCTATCTTGCATTTGAGCTATGTGCTCACTTACACTATGATACGGATTGGATTCGTGTTCCCAGGTTTCTTTTGCTATATCTAGCAGACCTCTGGGATGGTGGGCATATAAAAGTTCAAAAGGATAGAAGCCCGTAGAAGCTTGTGGCACCTCCCTTATGGAGAACATTAGATAGGGTAGTAAGCAATCCCAGTTCTTACCATCCTTGTCAATCACTTTCCTTAACATACTTTTTAAGGTCTTGTTGAACCGTTCTACCAGTCCGTCTATCTGGGGATGATAAACAGAGGTCCTAAGATGTTTGATTTGAAGTAGTTTGCATAACTCCTTCGTAACTTTAGACATAAATGGTGTATCCTAATCTGTCAAAATTTCTTTTGGTATGCAGACTGATAAAAATGAGCATGAGTTCTTTCACTATTGTCTTTGGATACGTGATATGTACTGGTAGCATAATCCAAAACCACCAATATATACTGATGCCCCCTTGCAGACTTTACCAGAGGACCTACCAGGACCATTGCAATCCTTTCAAAAGGTATTTCTATTATAGGCAATGGTAAAAGGACTGCGGTATGCCTTAAAAGGGGCGGCCTGCTGACATTCAGGACAAGAACAACAGTAATTTGCAACTGAAGCAAATACCCCAGGCCAACAAAACCTCTGTAAGACTCTTGTCTTTTCTATGCCTAAATGTCCCCTCAGTATATGGCTGTGTGCAAGATTTAGGACTGTATGTTTGAAGGGCTTAGGAACAAATAGTTGCTTCACAACATCCATCCCCTTTTTCTCCACTTTATAAATCAAATCATTATGTACCTCAAAGTAAGGATAAGAAGGGGCTCTATCTTGTTGAACTGGATCATCATTAGAAACCTGGATATTTTTACGGGCCTCTGCAAGAGTGGGGTCTTCCCATTGTGCTTTCCTGAAGTTAACAGGACTGACTTCTAATTCAGGAATGTTAATGCCTTGATCCTGATCGTTATCGGACTCCTGACTATCGTGGCCTGGGTCATCTCCTATTAAAGCTGGCATGTGACGTGAGGCTTCAGCCTTCTCTGTTCTTATGCCCAGTCCTTCCCATTCTACATCAGAAAAAGGAAACACATTTCCAGAATCATCATCATTTGCTATACAATCAGGGCCTACTTTTCCTGGAGACCCCCACAAGTCTAAAAATTGGGGGAAATCCCTTCCCAACACTACATCATAAGCCAATTTATCCACCAACCCTGCTCTATGATTCACAGTACCAAAAAGGTTTTCAAATTTCAGCAAAACTGTACAAGGCATTTTGTACAGTATTATTGTATTTTTCTAGATTCACTTTATTGAACTCTCTGAGTCCTAAGTCCGGGTGAGTAGGGATTTAAATAGGTCTCCTCTTAAAGAACTTGTTTTCTGTGGTTGGTTATGTTCAGGTGGAATGTATTGGGAAAGAAATATTGGAATCTTGAGATAGCAGAATATATCTATGGGGCTTAACTTTGTTTGCCTTGTCATTTGTTTTATAGTTTTATAGTTAGAGTTAGAATCCTCCAAGGCAGATCTTTGATCTGTGTTTATATAAAGAAGACAAAGACGGAAAATTCCACTGCAGTGGTACTGAGTGTTTAAACACTGTTTGTATAGTCTTGTCTTGGTTAAGGTAGTAATACCCCTTACATGTTAGAGATGGGTAACTCAAAAAGGAGTAGCTCTAACTATAGTTAAACATCTTTAAGGAAGGCAAAGAAATTACTTAAGAAAGCTGGCATGCCTTCAGAGGGAACCCTTGACCCACAGATATGGAAGGAATTTATGTAGTCTGCTAGGTTCTCCCTATCACTCTCAGTAGGTGAGCAGTCTACCGAAGTCTCTGGTACAGTAAAGAAGATGACTCCGGTGGAGTAGGGAGCGGAGAGGAGTGATAGTTGTACTGTTCTCTTTCAATATATATCTATATATTTGTTGATGTTATGTGTGGATGGTGTTCTATATATGTTTTACCATACGGGATATTTTGGTATTTAAGGGTGCAGCCCTCTAATCCCATTTATCATATCTCTGACTATTTCTCCAGTCTCCTAGTTCATAAAGTAGGAGTTTGTTTTTCTGTTTACATTGTTATATATTATTTCACATGGGATCTATATCCTTGGTATGATTGTTAGGTCTATACCATAAGCCCACTACACTTTCCATGATAGTGGGATAGTGTGATTGTGTTGCATTGTCTGCATGATGAGCCCTGTATTTTCATATTTGGACAAAAGTCACTTCATTAGTATTTGAAAGTTAAGTCCCCATACGGGATTAACTGTGTAAAACATCAAACACCACATTGTCCCTGCCCTGTGTGTTTGTTGCAGAGGATCCATACTGTAAATATGTTTGTGAATTAGAGAGCAACCTCTACATTTTCAGCGGTCCAACACAACTGCACTGCAACGGTCACTAGTCTAACACTATCCTTACGTTTTTGTGTCATTTTACCCCACTCCCTCTAGCATGTAAGCTCACTGAGCAGGGCCCTCAACCCCTCTGTTCCTGTGTGTCCAACATGTCTGGTTACAACTACATATCTGTTCGTCCACCCATTGTAAAGCGCTGTTGAATTTGATGGCTCTATATAGATGGAATAATAATAATAATAATAATAATAACAACACCACATGCTTCATTTTGTGCTGTGAGCCAACTTTTCCTTGCTACAGGTACTCTAAAGGATCCAGTGCATCACTTGCTGAATATGCTTTATGATTCTCTGTAGATTAATCTTTGAGGAAATACTCCCTATTATTACTAATATATCTCACATATGTGTTCTTTTAATTTGTGAAAATCTACAAATTGTTGTATGGGGATGCTGAGATTTTATTCCTTGTGACCACAACTGTAGACTCCCTGTGTGTTGAGTTTGAGGTTTGGTCAGTGTTACGGTTGCCTACAGGCTAGCTGAAAGTTGAATGTAAAGGACCATCAGCACCGTAGACACCATAAGTACTGCAGACTCCACGAACCGTCCCTGTTGGGCTGGGATCTTACCGTCTGCTATCCACCCTGGACCTATGACCAGGTTCCAGTGGGTGAACCTCTTCCTTCTGTAGAGCGAGGCAGGATCAAGAACAAGAGCTCTTACAAGAGCTCAGTAGCTAAGGGAGTATGCAGAGCATAACAATCCCTGTAGTTATTATAGCTGTCTCCTACAAACATGAGTTGAGGCTGCGAGTTAGAGGGTCAAGTAGTTCTGTTTAACCCCTTAAGGACCAAACTTCTGGAATAAAAGGGAATCCTGACATGTCACACACGTCATGTGTCCTTAAGGGGTTAATCAGCACCAAAGGGCTTTCTTTTATGCAGGTTTTTACACCAAGTTACCACCCATCTGGTCTTGTGGAACAGTCAAACACATGATAATACAGTCAAACACTCCCATTCATTCAAGCAAAATCCTCCCCTCTGCCTGTGATAGAATTACTGTACACAATGAGCTAATGTAATTATCACAGGCAGGAAAATACAGTTTTTATACAATTCTTATAACTTTAAAAGTACATGCAATATTAATAAAATGATTACATATTCTAAATCAGCATACTCCAAATACAAACATACTCAAAATTCCCTCAGTAGTTTAAAAGTTAGGTGGAAGTCCTTTTTGAAAAGCATAGCTTTCCTGCCCGAAACAGTTCCATAGATTTGGGCTGTGCTGTCGGTCTATTTTACACAGAAAAGTTACTAAGTCCCATTTGAATGCACGAACGAGGGCCGTTCGTGCAAATAGCCCAGTATAACATGGCATTCAAATCGTCGAACACACTTCGATTTCAGTCGAAGCGTCAAAGTTGCAGAGAAGGTAAGGGTCAGCGGTGTTCGTGCCGTTTTGTAGCCGATTTCAGTTCCATGAATTTGACGACACACACCGCTAACCGCGTTCGACGAAATAAAGATGGCCGGTTAACCGCCAGCCTTGCGTGTGGTCCGCCTGTTCGGTAATTGGTTTGGTAAGCCGCAATTACCTAACCATATGAGAAAAGGACATTCACAAAGTATTTTAAATGTCTGGGGACACAGTCTTAAAGGGGCATTGTCACAAAAAGTCTCAATGTTCCCATAGACTGTTTTTAAAGGGCCATAGTCATGAGGCTGGCAATCAAGCTTCTCGATAAGCCAGGGGAACAGGGCAGTTTGTCACATGAAAAAACAGTGACAAAAGATAATTTGTCAAAATCAGGTATGTAGTCTGGATCAGAATATCACGGACAAAGGTTGATTATACGTTTCTCTATTGCTTTTAAATACTCAACTGGGTCGATCCAAAAAGGTTTGCCATGCCTAACATAATAATGTTGAGTCTGAGTGTTCTGAGGGATTCGGGTGATAACATGTATTTGTAATCTGGTCCAAATATTTGCTCAATTTCTATAAGATTTAAGATGATGTAGCATCATCTCAGAAATTTTATTGACAGGGTACAGATCTTGCAATAAGTTAATGCAAGTTTCACATGAACATGTAAGATGAGAGCACAATATAAAGGGATCCCTTCTTTGTAAACAAGACTATGGTAGATTAACCCCTTAAGGACGGAGCCAAATGTACACGTTGTGAACGAAACAAAATGTAAATAAAACCTGGCATTTGCGCTACATGTCTGTCCAACTGTAATTCAACTCTTTCATAGTAAAAACACCCACCCTTATTATAGATCATTTTATTCAGGGGAAACTGGGCTTTCATTTAATATCAAATATTTAGCTATGAAACATAATTTAATATGAAAAAAATGGGAGAAAATACGATTTATTTTTTATTTTTTTAGTTCTACTTGACATTTTAACTGTCAATGTCTTAATACTGTTTGCTTTTACTGCAATAAAATACACATATTTGTATTTAGCAAAGTCTCACGTGTAAAACAGTATCCCCTATGTACAGGTTTTATGGCATTTTGGGAAGTTACAGGGTCAAATATAGCATGTTACATTTGAAATTGAAATTCGCCAGATTGGTTACGTTGCCTTTGGGACTTTATAGTAGACCAGGAATGAAATTTACACCCACAATGGCATACCATTTGCAATAGTAGACAACCCAAGATATTGCAAATGGGGTATGTCCAATCTTTTTTAGTAGCCATTTGGTCACAAAACACTGGCCAAAACTAGCGTTAGTATTTGTGTGAAAAATGCAAAGAAAACGCCAATTTTGGCCAGTGTTTGTGACTAAGTGGCTACTAAAAAAAGACTGGACATACCCAGTTTGCAATACCTTGGGTTGTCTACTATTGCAAATGGTATGCCATCATAGGGGTAATTTTCATTCTTGTGCTACCATAGGGTCTCAAAGGCAACGTAACTAATCTGGCAAATTTTAATGTGAAAAAAATGAAACGCAAGCCTTATATTTGACGCTGTAACTTTTGAAAACACCATACAACCTGTACATGAGGTGTACTGTTGTACTCGGGAGACTTCGCTGAACACAAATATTTGTGTTTCAAAACAGTAAAAAGTATTGCAGAAATAATATTGTCCGTGTAAGTGCTGTTTGTGCACGAAAAAGGCAAAAAAAGTCACTTTTACTGGCGATATCATTGCTGTAATACATTTTACTGTTTTGAAACACTAATATTTGTGTTCAGCGAAGTCTCCCGAGTAGAACAGTACCCCCCATGTACAGGTTTTATGGTGTCTTGGAAAGTTATAGGGTTAAATATAGTGCTAGCAAATTAAATTCCTTTACTTTCGGCATGGGTTGTCAGGCAGGTCCCGCTAATTGTAATTAATTAAGATACCTAATTATGTAAAAATATTACATAAATATATATGTAGAATTAATAGTATATATTTATATATATAAATTTAAAAAAATATTTTTATATATATATATATATATATATATATACATATATATATATATATATATATATACACACACACACACACACACACACGTATATATTTATGCATGTAGGTATATATTATTTCATTCTATGTGTATTTTGATATAAATATATATTAATATCACAATACAGTTAGAACGAAACACATCTATATATTTTTTTATTTAATTTTTTAACGTATTTACATTTTTAATTTTTTTATATTACATATATATAACAATTATATATATTTAATCATTATCAGTCTACGTGTAATTTGATTTTATATATATATATAATTAAATATATATTAATAGTAAACTACACCTAGACAGTGTGTATGTGGATATATATATAATATATATAATATATATAATATATATATTTTTTTTTTTTTTCACACTTAATTTTATTTTTATTTTCAGCCAGCAGGGGGACCACCTGTCATTACAGGCAGCCCCCCTGCTGGCAATGCATGAGGCAGCCTACCCGGTCCTCGCAACGACCTCACTCTCACATGGCCGGGGGGCACCGGAGGAGGAGGATCTGCCACAGGGGGGCTCCCTGGGAGTCCCCCCCACCTCGATCGCCGGCGCGGGACCGCCGGCGACCGGGTAAGTAAAGAAAGACCGGAGGGCGTACAATTACGCACGGCGGCGTTTAGAGCCGCCTAAAATAGGGCGTAATTGTACGTAATTGTACAGGGTTTAAGTAATAAGGTAATTAAGTAAATACATGTATACATAAGAAACCCTAAAATAAATCTGATACAAATTAAAATTTGTATACCTTACAATAATATGTTCTGAATACAGATGTTATGAGTCCATTCTGTGTAATTGGTGCCTGTGTTAATGTGTGTTTTGAATACCCATTATGAAGTGTGCAGGTTAACAAGCTAGTAGATTTAATTGGTATTTTACTGTGTTGTTTTAAAATTTATTTGAATCAGTTTGTCCCAGTCTATTGATACAGATAGAAATGCCAACCTAATAACCTATTAAATAACTTTTGTTCACTGTTGAATACTACATTATTGCTGTTGTCCAAGAGTAGTGGGAGTTGGAGTAGTTCTAACAGCACTGATTTTGTGGTCTGTTCTACAGTGTAGCTAAAGTATTGCTGTTGCAATAGTTGACTTCCTGTTTTATTCAACTTTCCTGTTCATTTTCCTAGTTTTGTGATTTATCTTCAATGCTGGATGTCTGTTTCTGTAGAAGTTAAACAGTTTGCAGAAATTTTCATAATTTTTTTTTTTAAAGGCTTATTATACAGAGGTATAAGAATGGTGTTGCATGATTAATTGGAAGTGTTAGTTTAAGACGGCACTTGTTATCTATCACAAGCATAGGAAACTACATTATGTCTAACTGTGTTTCTTCTGAGGGACACAGAGTGTGAAATTTATTTACTTATTTTGTTAACTTATTCTGGAATGGTTATGATTTAGTTGCGTGTCCATGAATGTGCTTTTTGTATTGGCATATTAGCTGGATATCTATTATGTGTATCTACTATGTCTGTTGTGTTCTGTTTTGTCAGATGACAACATGTTTGATATTACAATGATTGCTGAGTTTAAGTTCTATGGGTTGTAATGAATTTGTGTGTTATGTGTTAATGTCTATTGTTTCTGAGTAGAGTTGAGCGTACCCGAACGGTAAAGTTCGGGTTCGTACCGAACATTATGATTTTTGAACCCCGGAACCCAAACACGGACATATCACTGTATGTTCGGGTTGGATTTCGGCGTTTGGCGATTTAATGGCGCGTTTTGAAAGGCTACAGGGCAGCCAAACAAGCGTTTGACTCGTGTGCCCTTAGAAGCCATCACAGCCATGCCTACTAATGGCATGGCTGTGATTGGCCAGTGCAGAATGTGACCCAGCCTCTATATAAACTGGTTACTTAGTATTATTAAATTATGCCCCTACTCGCTATACCGTGAGTGGGGGCATGTCTGTTAAACAGTGAGCAGCCTGTGGCTGCTCACGGTTGAAAACAACAAAAAACATTCCCCCCTCCTGAGCAGAGTGGGGGCTTTTAAACTAAAGGGGGACCTATTGCCCCCCCGTACCCCACCCCTGAGCGGTGGTTGGGGTTCCCTAAATACCAATAAGGTCCTCCCCCAAGGCCCCCACCCCTCAGCGGCGGGTGGGGGCCCTAAATACCAATAAGTGGGGGACCTATTGTCGTCCTCCCCCCTGGCCGCCACCCCTGAGCGGTGGGTGGGGGCCCTAAATATCAATAAGGTGGGACCTATTGTCCTCCCCCCTGGTCCCCACCCCTGAGCGGTGGGTGGGGGCCCTAAATAAGATTTTAACCCCCCAGGTGACTAGCGGTCCCCAAACCCCTAGTCACCCCCCTCCCCCCAAAAAAATAACCCCTACCAATCCCCCTCATCCTAAAAATAAGGGGACCCTTATCTAAATACCTGTAAAAAAAAAAAAAAATAGACTTACCATTTGATGTCTTTCTTCTAAAATATTTTTTCAGCCCCAAAAAAGGCCAAATAAAAATCCATAATAAACGACGCACTTAAAAAAAAATAAAAAAAAAAATAAATAAAAGCGCAAAAAATAAATCAATTTTCACCCATGGAGGGCTCCTCTACATTTACCTGTCACAGCACTCTGGTTGGTTGGCTTGAAATCCAGCCAGAGTGCTGTGTCATTTTGTACAGCATGGGAAAGTTCTTTGGAATTTTCCCACGCTGTGTAAAATGACACAGAGCACTCTGATTGGTTAGCTTGAAATCCAGCCAGAGTGCTGTGTCATTTTGTACAGCATGGGAAAGTTCTTTGGAATTTTCCCACGCTGTGTAATTTGACTCATAACTCTCTGGTTACTTTCAATCCACCAATCAGAGTGTTATGAGTCAAATTACACAGCGTGGGAAAATTCCAAAGAACTTTCCTATGCTGTGTAAAATGACAGTACTCTGATTGGTGGGTTTAAGCCATCCAATCAGAGTGCTCTGACAGGTAAATGTAACAGTCTCTTCATGTCAGTCTCTTCATTTACCTGTCAGAGCACTCTGATTGGATGGCTTAAACCCACCAATCAGAGTGCTCTGAGTTAAGCAGGAGGGGGCAAGGCTTTATAAGCCTGCCCTGCAGAGCTCAGCTGCGTGGAGCCCTCCATGAGTGAAAATTCATTTTTTTTGGGGGCTTTTTTTTTTTTAAAGTTTTTCGGTTATTATGGATTTTTATTTGGCCTTTTTTGGGGCTGAAAAAAGAATTGTTTAGAAGAAAGAAGACATCAAATGGTAAGTCTATATTTTCTTTTTACAGGTATTTAGATAAGGGTCCCCCCTCATTAATTTTAGGATGAGGGGTAGGTAGTGGTTATTTTTTGGGGGAGGGGGGTGACTAGGGGTTTGGGGACCCCTAGTCACCTGGGGGGGTTACATTTTTATTTATGGCCCCCCCACTGCTCAGGGGTGGGGGTCGGGGGGAGGACATTAGGTCCCCCTATTCTTATTTTTGGCCCCCATCCACTGCTCAGGGGTGGGGGCCGGGGGGACGACAGTAGGTCCCCCCCTTATTGTTATTTAGGGCCCCCACCCGCCGTGCAGGGGTGGGGGCCGGGAGGGAGGACGTAGGTCGCCCACATTCTTATTTAGGGCCCCCTCCCACCACTCAGGGGTGGGAGCCGGGGGGGAGGACAGTAGGTCCCCCCCTCCACTTTCTTATTTAGGGCTCCCACCCGTCGCACAGGTGTGGGGGCAATAGGTTTTGTTTTTTTAGTGAGCAGCCAAAGGGAATTCTGAAAATTTTTATAGAAGACAAATTTCATGAAATATAAGCAAAGCTGAGAGAAGTACATGTTAGGGGGCGTGTCTTGGTCACCATCTTAGATGGCCACATTTTAGAGAGGCTCCTGGACTGGGGGGACATTAAAGTTCCAAAATCAGCATATACAGCATTAATGACTAAGAAATAATCACAGCACAAGTTGTATGAACTATAAAACAACATGCAGAAACAAAAGAACGAAAAAACCGGGCCTGGCGCAACTAAACGAGATACAGGAGCTGCTGGGGTGAGTAAGGGCAACCGCGAGCCGCTCGCATCAGCCTCATGGCGGCAGGATTGCGGCTGCAAGTGCTGCGACCACGGAGTGTGGCTTAATGCACTCCGGGCGCTCGGCGTGCCATGAACACTCACCCGCGAGCGGCTCACATGAAGGAGAGAGCCGCTCACAGTATAACATTAAAGCAGCCCGGTCACTAACATAACACTGAGGAGGAGACAAGGGGTGTGAGGTCCCGCTCTCCGTCGGGTTCCTCGGCCTCACGGCTGGAGACACCGGCAGGGGGGGACCTTTTCCTCCACCTCCATGGAGAATAAAGAGAGAGCTGATGACAATTGGGAAGATTGCACTGAAATGGAAGAAGAAGTACATTTAATTTCATATTCTGCTCTAACACAACAAATTAGGACTGATGCCTCTACCAAGATGGCCACTGTCGAAACTTTTTACAGCGACCCTGCCACAACCAAGATGTCTGCCACAGCACATTCAACTACTTCCACAACCAAGATGGCCACTGCCACATCCAAGATGAAAGCTGCCTCAGGATGGGTTCTACAGGATTCAAAACTATGGTTTATAATCCTAACATGCCAATTGAAATGGCTGAAGATTTGCCACCGTCGGCTGGAATGATTATTAAACTAATCCAGAACTAAGGGTGGACCTTAAAAATGACTTTAGAAGAGACTTTGACACAATGTATGAAGTGTTAGACAATATAGGTTAGCACACAGAGGAAGTTGAGCACAATATGTACAACAGGCCTCCCTGAAGAATACAAAAATTTTAAAGTTTTTCAGGATTACTCTGCATAGTCGATGAGACACCGCAAGGTTTCCCAGTAAAAAAGTGATCTTCCACATGCATGGCCGAAATTTTATAATTGCATCTAATGAAGAAGGGATGGATCTCATTAATTCAATGTCCAGATGCCAATCACAATCTCACCCTCTCTCTCCATCAACTCCGAGACATGTCAACAAGAAGAGCAGGGCGGACGACACTTGAATTTCTCACTGCTTCATTTTAGGAATTTTCTCTATTCCTGGAAAACCAATGCTGGGTTAGAGTCACATTCTTCCGGATCTTCTGCCTTAAGTTCTTTCACCTTGATCATTGGATTTTGTTTTCTCTCTCATTTTATTACTACTGATTTTGCTTTTCTTTATTTTTTCGCATTAATGCTTTTTATTTGTTAGATGCCAGCATTAAGTTTGAACCTAAGAAACTAGAACCTTTGTTTTTTATTGTTGGTCTACATTTCAGCCCTGGGATACACTGAGTCTATTATCAATATTGTTTTGTTTTGATTATCTTAACATTGTTTGGGCTCTAAAGATCTATGGCAAAACCACCAAGATCTTAATATTTCAGATACTGTTTGACATTTAATGAGAGTATTCTTCCCCTTTTTCTTTTTCAATTTAGTTTTAGTCGTTGCTCATATGTCCAGATAAGATTTCAGGACTGTAAAGATTTTGCCTTTTTAAATTATTTTCTCTCCCTTTAAATGTTCTTTGTTGTTTTTCTTTAATGGTTTTCTTTTTTACTATTCACATGGTCCCCCCTGCCCTGGGCAGTCTTCTCTCCCCCCAACCTGGGCCTAACACCCTGAGATGGAGAAACTTTTTTTATTCTCCCTCATGGCCCTTTTTTTCACTAAAATTTGCATTTTACCCCTTATAGGGTTTTTTCCCCCAAGTTTTTTTTCCTATTTTTTTTTTTTTTAATCCATCCTCTTGTAAAATTATATTGATTCAGAATGATACAGATTAGAATTGTGACTTGTATATGGCATAATTTAAATGTTTTAGCAAGTTTATTATTGTCTTAACAAATTTGATTTCTGTTAAAATTGTTGGATTTCTTTACACTTCTCTTGGGGCACGGAACTTCGGGCTCTCACATTGTTGTTCATTTTATCTCCATCAATAGTGATTTCTGATCTGAGCCATGGTTCTCAAATTTTTATCATTTAATGTGAGAGGTCTGAACACCACCCACAAGAGACGATTACTGTTCAAGGAAGTTAAATCCAACAAATCGGATATTATTTGTGTTCAGGAGACCCATTTTAGAGAAGGTAAAGACTATAACATCATGTCACGGTTATTACCATCCCAATTTCATTGCACTTACAAAACTAAATCTAGGGGTACTTCTATCTTTTTTAGCAGGAATGTGGCAAGTTCTATGGAAAAGGTTATGGCAGACGATGATGGGAGATACTTACTGTGGATTGGTAAAGTTAATAAAGTCATGTACACAATAGTCAATGTATTTTCCTAACACGGGTCAGTTAACTTTTTTCAGGAAGATAATGGAACTAGTAAGCGAGAATTTCAAAGGAACTTTGGTGATGTGTGGCAACACGAATTTTGTTATGGATGGTGATTTGGATAATGCAAGGAAAAATTTAGCCCAATCTTGTAGGAGAGATAGTGATAGACTAGCTGAGAAATGTTCAAGATATATGATTGAATGTGGATTGTATGACCCTTGGAGGCTAATGCAAGAGAATGAAAGAGACTACTTTTTATTCTGTGTCCAAAAATATGTAGTCCAGGCTGGACAGGTTTCTGATACAGGGTGTTCTCATCCCACACATCTTGAGATCTGATATTTTAGATATCAATTGGTCCGACCATACTCCCATAATTTTCCATTTAGAAGAAATAGTTTCTTCCTCACCCAACAGACAATGGAAACTGAGTGATTATTTGTTAGATAACAGTGAAAATAGATCGTTAGCGGAGGGTGTATTGAACAATATTTTTTTTGGAAAATGCTTCTCATGAGGTTCCTGGCGAGGTGACTTGGAATGCGCACAAGACTGTGTTGCGAGGCCACTTCATTTCTAGAGCATCTCACCTGAAGAGGAAAAACAATAATAATTTAAGGAATATGGAAAAATAATTAATTTGAATCAAGCAAATAAATTTGGCCCATCTTCCTCTCTGTCAGCGATGATAGCAGAGGTTAAATCCAAAATACATAAAGTGAATTTGGACCGAACCACTCTTATGGTGAGACGCCTTAAGACAATTTTTTATTTAAAAGACAATAAGGCCTCAACTCTTCTGGCATCCAAACTCCAGCATGTGAATGCCCAATCAAAGATAGCATATTTAATAGATGACCAGGGACAAAAAATATTTCACTCAACTAAAATTAGCGATCAACTGCTAAGTATTATAGTGAATTTTATAATTTGGAATTGGATTCGAATCTCACCCAGCCTTCTGAGGCAACAATTAATTTTTTTAGATAGGGTTTCGTTGCCTCAGCTATCTTCTGACAAGAGTGTGATAGATCTGACACAGATAGCTGAGGCGATTAAACTTATGCCATCTGGAAAGACGCCTGGTCCGGATGGATTCACCATTTTATACTACAAGACCTTTTCAGAAACTGTAACTCCCCATATGTCTAAATTATTTAACTCCTATAAGTCCGGGGGGAAGTTACCGGGGGAGTCTTTGTGCGCACAGATTGTCACCTTGCCAAAACCGGGAAAAACTCCTGACAGATACTCTAACTTTAGGCCCATATCCCTCATTAACAATGATTCGAAAATCTATTCTAAAATACTAGCAAATAGATTAGCTAAACTGATACCTTTGTTGATCAACAATGATCAGGTGGGGTTTGTTCAGGACAGACAAGCACCTGATGGAACAAGGAGGTTCATTAATTTAATTCAACATATTAACTCGACAAAAACCCCTTCTCTGCTCCTTTCATTGGACGCAGAGAAGGCATTTGACAGGATACATTGGGGGTACCTTTGGAATACAATGAGCACATTCAATATACCACCATCTTTTATTACTGCGATTAAGGCACTATATAGCGAACCCACAGCCCATGTATCAGCCACGGGTTTCCAATTAAGCACCCTTTCTTTATCTAATGGGATGCGTCAGGGTTGCACTTTGTCTCCGGTTCTCTTTGTTTTGGCGATGGAACCTCTGGCCGAATTAATTAGGACGACCCCAGAAATTGTAGGTATTAACATCAAGGGATCCACCCACAAAATAGGATTATTTGCAGACGACATTCTAGCGCTCAAAAACACAGAAGACTCTGAAATTTTTTAATACTATACTGCTTCAGTTCGGGGAAGTATCATATTATAAGCTGAATGTATCTAAGACCCAGGCTCTCCCCTTCCACTTGAACAAACTTGAAATGGACGAATTAAGATCATATCCATTTGACTGGAGGAGGGAATACTTAGAGTATTTAGGAATTAATTAACATGCATATCCACAATTTAAAGAGAGCATGGCCGGACCTACAAAAAGTGAGATGGAGAGATAGGGTGGGATGGAGCTTGTGGTGTATCAGGGAGAATCGCCCCCATAAAAATGTAAATTCTTCTAAAAATGTTGTATTATTTTAGAACTATCCCTTTATCCATTCCACTATCCTTCTTCAATAAAATACACTGTAATGTTAAAATTTATTTGGAATAACAAGCCCAGTAGAATTAAGCTTACATCCCTGCAGCACCATAAACTTCACGGGGTATTGGAGTTCTGAATATTTGAAAGTATTATTTCGCCACTAACGCTGCAGTGGCTGTAAGCTTTAACAGCCAAATAAATAGGCCGAGATGGATGGAGATAGAGGAATCCAACAGTCTCCCATTCCAGCTCAAGGAACTACCCTGGTTAAACCCTGCACGAAGGCCTGGAGTCACTAAATTTTTCCTGACAACTAAAACCATACTTAAAGCCTTGGATATAGTATTTAAGAATAATTGCCACTCTGTGAAATTGTATAGAGCCATGCCAATTGAATCTCTAAGATATTACATGCCATCTTTGAACTTAGAATTACTGAAGGGACACCACCTGCATAATATAGATAACTTTTTCCATGGAAACTATTTTGTCGTATGAAAGGTTACAATTTAAACAGATTGCCGAATGAATGCAAGGACGAATGTGTGTTGGTGATTGAGAAGCTGAAAGAATTGTACAACATACCAGACACTGATAAATATTACAAATCTTTAGAAATATCGCCACAAAAAAACAAAAAACTATGTTTGCATGACCCAAATAGGAAGGGCACTATTTCTATAGGTTATCTACTACACAATGACAAACCAACAGTTAAATTGAAGCACATGCTGTCTTGGGAGATGGAGCTGGGTACCAAATAGGAGTTGGAGGAGTAGATTAGTTTTTTTTCCCCAGAGTTGAAGGGACTATCTTTTTGTTCTAACCATCATGAAAACCATTTTAAAATACTGTATCGATGGTATCTAGCTCTGTCCAGGTTGCAAAATATGAACAATATGTACAGTGATCGATGTTGGAGAGACTGTGGAGGTTTGGGCAATATGGCCCACATATGGTGGTATTGCCCAAGACTCACTTAATATTGGAAAATGATACACAACTTGATAATTAAGGTGGACATTAACATAGATAGCTTCACATCCGAATTAGCTTTATTCAAAAAATTCCCTGAATCCGTTAATAGAATTAATAGAATAATAGTAGGCAACATTCTGATAACTGCTACTACATGCCAAGATACTGGAAAAATAAGTACTAAAGCTGACACTAGAAAATAAATCATGCAAATTATCTCAAAGAAACAACTCACATATATTTGCACAATTAAAATATCACTGGGATCTATGGGAAACCGATGTTAAAAACTTATAATTTGTAATGACTTGCTATGTAATGTTATTCAATTCATATGCCTTGTACATTAATGTACTTATTTTTATAATGGATGGATATCCCCCTTTCCCACTTCCAAGTTTTTCCCTTCCAAGTTTAATTATATTCAAAGAGAAATATATATATATGAAAAGGGGAAAAAAAGTTACAAAATATTAAAATAAATCAAAACAGTAAGGAGAAATATATATTTTTTTTAAAAAGGGTAAATACAAAAAAAAAATAAAAAATACTAAAATGTAAACTTTTTTCCCCACTTGGTATTAACTAATACCAACCACAGTCCACCAAAAAACTCCTGTTTTAACTCCTACTTAAAAGAGACTACTTTAAATAGCCTACTTTCAAGTAAACTCCAGTGAGCAAGCTCTGTGAGTCTGTATTGGGTTTATATTGGCAATACAAATCCCACACAGGTGGAAATTAAGGGGCACTCCCCCTAATTAGCTCAGCAGCAGCACCCACAAGGTGGGAATAGAAACAACAAGAAAGGGAAAAAAAAAAAAAAAGGGAGGGAAAACGTTTTAAATAACACCAGCAAGAAAATATTGTATTTCTTACTTATCGCAGTATTTGTCATAATCGTGTTTTTTTCTGACATTTAAGTTCTTCTCCTTTTTTCTATTATCCTTGTGTAAATCAAAACCTCATGTTGGTCGTACCTTAACTTATATGCCAGCTTCCTCAACCCACAGAGCTGTATAACTGATGAAGGATCATTCCTCCTGTGACCCCTGGCTTGCCCTGTCTGAGGGAACCGTGGTGAAGGCATTAATAAAAATAAAAAAAAACCCACAGGTTTTGATTAGCATACCTGGAAATACCTCAGACACCTGGGTAAGCCGTGGGGTCAAAAAGAGGGAAATTGTAATGGAATTATTGATGGAAGATACTTTGACCCCAGGCTCAAGCTTTTAAGATGACCAGATTTCCAGTCTTTACTTCTTATGTTCTGCTTTTAACTTTTAGTCTAGTTTCGAGTGTGACAAATTAGCACAAGTAAGCATAAAAGCATGACTTGTGACATTCTGTGATTTCTGAGGAGACTATTGCACCTTTACCCTTAACCTCCCCCACCTCTGATTTCCTAATGAGATATATATAAGATATATATAAGATATATATAAGATATATATCCATTGAAATATGCTTAGTTCTGTAATTTCCTTTTATGCTATAGTGTGACTTCACCCATCCGGTTTTTGGCGCGCAAGTCACAAAGTTGTCTTTACAAAGTAGTATATAATCTGTAAGTTTACACAATAAAAGAGTAAAGTAATCTTTAAATCAAAAACGGTCTGGTCTGATTACTTTCTCCGAGCAGCTCGTAATAAAAGTGTCAATTTGGTTTCCACCTGAACATATCTCCGGGTAAATTAATCTGTGTCAACTCGAATTATCTAAATTGTTCATCTCTAATATTGTATGACTACATGGGACTACCTGATGAAATCATTTCAGACCAAGGATCACAGTTCACATCCAAATTCTAGAAACAATTATGTAAAGGTCTTGGATTTATAAATACATTTTCCTCTTCATATCACCCTCAAACAAATGAGCAAACTGAGTGAGTAAATCAATGTCTAGAACAATATCTTAGATGCTTCTGTACTCATCTTCAAGATGACTAGTCATCATGGTTACCTTTGGCTGAATTTGCATATACCAATTCTTTACTTTCAAGTACCAAGATGACACCTGTTTTCTCCAATTATGGATTTCATCCAACATCTTCTCTTAGTGATCTCATTTGTAGTACCAATCCATCAGTGAATTGTCAAATAGACGAAATTACATAATTGTTTAAGATTCTAAAAACTAATCTTGAATCTTCTTCCTCAAATCAAAAATTCTGTGACGAAAAAAAAAACAAAAAAAAAAAAAGACATCCTCCTAAATATAAAGTTGAGGATAAAGCCTGGCTCTCTACAAAAAAATATTAAAACAAACAGACTCTAAAAAAAAACAAAAAAAACAAAACACTTAGGTCTTTGTTCATTTTAACTTTTTGTTTTCCTACAGAGAAGATTATCAGAGAAGTTGCAGTCAAATTAACTTTGCCTTCCTCTGTAAAACTCCATCCTGTTTTCCACATGTCTCTCCTAAAACCCTATGTTTCAGATCCCTTTACAAGAGAAAAACAACATCCTATAGATCCAGTTCTGGTTGAAGGAGAATTTGAATATTAAGTCCATAAAATCTTATATCTCGACTTCATCATGGTAAACTCCAATACTTAATCTGATGGAAAGGTTATGACCCTGAAGATAACACATGGGAGGACAAGGAGAAGATACATGCCCCTCAATTAATTGCCTCATTTCATAAAAAACATCCTGATAAACCTCATTTATAGAACTCGCAGTGTGCTCCATAGGAGGGGGGTAATGTCATGATTTCCACTATAATTTCTGTCCGATTGGCGTTCACCTGTAATGACTGGGTTTTCGCTGAACCAACTCCACCCATGTGTCTGACGTCACACGCTTCCATGGTCATAGGAAGCTGCGGGAAATTAGATTGCTGCCAAGTGCCGTCTGAGCCCCTTCTCTTGATAAGCTATATACTGAACCTCTGAAACCGACCTTGCTGACTTCTCAGCTCCCAGACACGGAACGGACTTTGACTACGCTTACCTCTAATCCTCAGATGAAGAATAATCTAGTGTAGTGAGAACACTCTAAAATATAACTTTTTTAAAAAAAAACGTAAAATGTCCCATAGAGGGATCTAAAGCAGTAGTCTGAAAACTGGATTCTAAGAGGTAATAGAAAGTAGGAAAAAATAATAAATGAATATATAAGATAGAAAGATAATGGTTAAAAAAAAATAAAAAATTAAAGATCTCTGAGTAGGTGGGGTACGATAAGTATTAATGGTTAGTAATTCATATTAGGGAAAGGTGATGACCGATATCCATTAGTTTAGATAGAGAATAGTAATGTATCGAATATGCCACGATATGCTGCAGGAATAACTGTTGCAACTACTGTATGTTGCACATAGCTCTATAAGAAAAACTGATGGGAATATGTCCAGCAAATTAGATGTTTTCCCGTGGGTAATAATGGCATAGGCAAGGGCAGTTAGACTTGCAGACCGATATCTGTGAATACAGAAGTGGAATTAACAGTGAGGGTGCATACAACGGTTGATCTCTAGGCTTGTCTAAATACAGATTTCTAATCCCTACATATTTAGCAACCGGCACATGTCCCCTCCATGTTCCCAATTCAAAGTTTAAAAATATGTACAAGTTATAGAGATAACATTGTCCCCAAATACAGCTAGTTCTTAGAGCGATCGATTGTGTAAGTAAGTACACAAGTTAGATAAATAAAAGTATTAATGGAGCTCCAGGAGGGGGGAGTAGTAAGGTTAAATGTAAGTCATGAGTGAAAGACCCCCACTAGAAAAGTAGTAAGAGTAAAACATACAAAACGGGATTTGTTTGTAAAAATACATTTAAATAGTCCATGATGGTTACAGCATTTATGTGGATATGTGCAGAATGTAATGTGTGTGATGAATACGGTCACAATATTCAGAAACCCGGTACCTGCAAGCTCCCTGTCAGTTGATCTGAAGAGTCTGCCAGTATCTATGTCAGGACATGCAGGCTGGCAACTCTGTCACTATGATATCTGGCTGCAGAATTACCGACCCATGTCAGTGACGACCTATGTTCTACATGGTGATGAGATAATAAAATTTAAAAAAATAATTAAATCAACCCATTGTAATTTAAATGGTCTCTTCGTTGCAATGTTTTTGTTGTCATATGATCTGAGACGAGAAATGAAATAATATTTAACTAAGAGTCTGTACATATAAATGTTAATTAGTGTATTAACTTGTCTCCTCACTGTGATGATACTTGTGGAATAAGTTGTTTAGTATAAAAGTGTCACGACAGTGACCAATGTCACAACAGTGACCCCTTCACACAGCGTGAAACCCACAGAAAGACGGTTACCGGACCTTAGAATGGCCGGACTAGCGTCTGAGAATAGTTAAAGGAATAGCCAAAGGTCAAGGGAATACGGAAGACAGGCACACGATTATCCAAGCCAAGTAACGGGAAACCAGAAAACAATAGTCGGAGAGATAGCCAAGGGTCAAATACCAAGAAGGACAAGCAGAGATAATAGCACTAGGGGACTTTAAACAAGAACCACACTAGGGCATCTGACAAGTGTCATGATAGCCCTTTTATAGTGTGGGTTCTTTGACTTTAATTTTGAAGCCACGCCCCCAAAAAGTCCGGGAGCGTGGCCACGTTTGAATTTTGGCAGCATTTTCCCTCTGACGTCAGCGCGCATGCGTCGCGTCATAAAGGTGGGCGTGTTCCGAGCGGCCGGGTCAGAAGAGCTGAGCCACCCCCCAGAAGTATTGGAGGAGGACCCCGCGCTGCGTGGGACCGGCGGGGAAAGGTAGGCGCTCGTTTCAAAAAGTATCTTAAGTAGGTTACGATATTGCATTACTTGATAAATACCAGTAATTGGACAATGAAGTTCAGTGTAACTGAATCAAATATATTTACAGATAAACTCAGTGTGATGGCCAATAGTGGCAGTCATGATTTAAACATCAATATTTAGGTAAGGAAGGCTGTATAGTTGAATTCTTTGTTGAGCCCCTGAGGGCTCAACGTTTTGAAGGTGAAAATCCATTTTGATTCCTGCTGTAACTGTGACAGACCTCCCAGTCGGTGGATTATTTCTAGAGATGTGTTCTTCTGTTTATTCAACCTTTTTCCCTTTATTCATTGGTTTCCCTGCTTTATTTCGTTCAACCGAATAATCTACCGATTGTGTGCTGCTTGTTAACCTTTTTGACCCGCTTTCACACTGTGGTTAACACAGACACTTCCATCTGTCGAATGGTCGGCTGGGTAGTCGTCATTCGTATGAACGAACACGTGGTGGTGGCTATCTTAAACTATTGAAGGCCCAGTGGTGTTTTGTTGTCGACCGTATGGAACTATTTTCGGTCACCGTTTCACACGAACACCGCTGGGACTTCCAGACTTCCATCATTTCATTTAGATTCATAAAAACGCAGTGGCGTTCGGGACTTTTAAACTCACGAACCAGACCGACTGAGGACTAACAACCATGGAACTGATTCTAGACAGATTATGCCAAACGGTCGGTGAAAACACTTAAACACCATGGGGATCTGACTGTGTTTGTGGGATCTGAGTGCGTTTTGGATATATTGAGAGCTCAGATCCAAGCTTTCTGTGGATATGTCGAACATGGGGGTTTAATTATGGAGAATATGAGTTATGTATTTTAATGTGTTTTTGTTACAGTTTTACTTAGGAATATTTTCTGTACCTGGAGATAATTGAGTTTACTACGGCCACTTAACCAAATTATCACCAGTATAGAGAGGAGGGATTTTACTGTTTATGTGGGAGTGTTTCACATTGCATGTTTGGCTACTGTAACTGTATTCCCATCCTCCACAAGGTCCCTATGGGAGTATCCCTTGCTGGAGGACCTGCATAAAAGCCAGCCTGTGAAACTCATTAAACCAGTTGATGTTTGACCCTCAACACAGAGCCTCGTCTCGTGCTTGGGGGGATATTTCTTCAAGGTTCTTGTTCAGCGCTTGGGATTATTCGTAGCAGACGTCATACTTGGGGAAAAGAACATCTTTTGACGGCATTAATCCCTTTTCATATCCGGGGTGCCGTCACAGTAACAATTTGGGATTGATATCCCTCCCTCTTGGAGATGCATTACATTTTTCGATGGCTTGGAAAGTATGGTTCGATGCTTCACCATTATGAAAATTATGTATATGTCTTGCAATTGGGGTATCACTTGCTGAATTGATAGTATAGATGTGCTGTAGGATCGTTTGGCAAACCTGCTGGGTAGTTTTGCCAATATACTGGATCCCACATTTGCAATTGGCCAGATATATAACATTTGTTGAAGTGTAGTGATGTCCCGAACTGTTCGAACGGTTCGCAGCGGACTCATCATTGAGTAAACTTTGACCCTGTACTTCAGTCAGCAGACACATTCCAGCCAATCAGCAGCAGACCCTCCCTCCCAGGACCTCCCACCTCCTGGACAGCTCACTAAAAATGCAACTTCACAATGGATGCTTTCCAGGAGGTGGGAGAGTCTGGGATGGAGGGTCTGCTGCTGATTGGCTGGAATGTGTCTGCTGACTGAGGTACAGGGTCAAAGTTTACTCAATGAAGAGTCTGCGGCGAACCGTTGATGGCGAACAGTTCGGGACATCACTATTGAAGAGCAATTAATGAAGCTAATTTTTTTTGCTGTGGCCACTGGTAAGCCTGCCAACATACCCCCCCGACAAAAGAAGTAGAATCTTTCATCACGAACCAAACTTTCAAAAAACGTATCTTACATAGCTGAAAAGAGACTTGTGTCCATCAAGTTCAGCCTTTCTCCCATGTTTTTTGCTGTTGATCCAAAAGAAGGCAAAAAAAACAGTTTGAAGAACTTCCAATTTTGCAACAAACTAGCAAAAAATATTCCTCTTGACCCCAGAATGGCAGTCAGATTAATCTTTGGATCAAGGAGCTATTACCCTACATTGAAAAATTATATCCTTGAAAATTATTTTTGCAAGTATGCTTCTAGTTGCAGTTTGAACATCTGTACCGACTCTAATAAACCACTTCTTCAGGCAGAGAAGTCCATATCCTTATTGTTCTTACAGTAAAATAAAAAATAAATAAAAATAAAACACTTTTCTTTGCATTAGACAAAAGCTTCTTTCTTCCAGTCTAAACGCATGACCTTGTGTCCTATATAAAGTCTGGCTTGAGAATAGATTCCCACACAGTGGTTTGTATTGGCCCCGGATATATTTGTATAATATTACTATATCCTCTCTAAGGCAACATTTTTCTAAACTATAGAAGTTTAAATTTGTTAACCTTTCTTCATAGCCGAAATGTTCCATTTCTTTTATTAATTTTGTAGCCCACCTCTACACTTTCTCTAGTGCCATAATCAGGGCTTGAATCCTGCATGGAATGCATGGGAACGGTGTTCCTGCACTTTTTCCACAGCAGGAATGCCGTTCCCGTTAGTAGTCCTGCAGCACCTGCCCTTTGAGTTGACCCCTACGTGGGGCTGCCTCCAGCAGAACAGGAGGGCAGTAACCAAAAGCAGCTGCTCATGCTGCCCCTCTGACAGCGCAGCCCCGCGGATCTCTAGCAGCACAG